TTCAGGGCAATATGAATGACGGTTTGATGCAGCATTGTTATGAATGGAATGACGCTGGAGGCATATTCCTTAGTAGCTTTCACAAGAGAAGTGAATAAATACTCAAATAGAAGTAGTTCACAGCGTTATGATGGAAGAGCAGCATGAATTCATTTGATAGCTGTGTCTTCGAGTCTGCCATATGACCTCCTTTTGTGCAATACCATTCTCTGTTTCACATCATTCACAAATATTTAAAGTAACAAGGGGCCGGGCCAGGACAGGTACCTGTGGTGCTCTTTCCCCAACAAAATTATTTCAAAATTTTCTATTTCTCTGTTGGCATTACTGAGCCAGTTCTGAGTCCGTCACACAAGTTGTCATCTACGCTGGGGGCTTAACCTGACACAGACTTTGTATTTTGAAAATCTAAATAAACTCTCAACAGGTCACTTGGCCTCCGCCCAATTACCAGAAAGATATGACCAGTGTTATTGCTTAAGTGACATTACTCCCAGTAATAGTGGTTCAGTTCTGCCTTTGCTTTTCTGTCATAGGTAGAGTGGTGCTGGTTAAATTGAGTGTGCCTGTACAGCTCAATTTTTAAAAAATTGTTTATGGGCTCTGACACCACTGACAAGACCAGTATTTATTGTCAATCCCTAATTACCCCGCAGAAGGTCATAATGATCTGTTGTCTTGAGCCACTACAGGCCATGGGATATTAGGTATACCGTAATGCTGTTGGAACATAGGAACTAGGAACAGGTGTAGGCAATTCAATCCCTCAAGCTTGTTCCGCCATATAGTACGATTACAGCTGATCTCATCACGGCCACAACTCCACTTTCCTGCCTACTCTCCCAATTGCTAATAATAAAAAAAAATCTGTCTATCTCCTCAAATTTATTCCGTGTCCACCACACCTTGGAGTACTGAATTCCACAGACTCAAACCCTTTTGAGAGAAACAAAACCTCCTCTGTTTTAAATCTGTTACCCATTATCCTAAAACTATGGCCACGCATTCTAGATTGGTCCACACAGGGAAATATCTGTCTGTCATCTGCTTCATATGGAGGGAGTTCCAGAATTTTAACAGTCTCTAATTGCATGAATCTTAATTGCAAGTGAAATCAGAGGCTGGATTTTAGAATAAGATCTCTTCCAATTATTTGTTTGACTTGCAAATACTACAGGTAAATGTGCCAAAAATACTGGAACTAACAGTGTCTGACTTTATTTCTTTTTGGCACAATGTTCTAAAATACCCTACAGGATGTAGATGGGGTTCATTTCACTCCTTGACATTGTTAGGGTTGCAATGTAGTAAGGAAACAAACTCCCACAAATGCCTTCTATATCTTGTTAAGTGTATATAGATTATGTACACTGTGAAAGTCAATTAAATTGCTCTGTTCTGTCAAACTTAAGTTTTATCAGCAGTTGTGTTTGTTACAGTCACTTTAATGAAATGAGCGCACCTTCATTTGGTAGTTTTCACTTCATTCCATTCCTGTGTTTAGAGGACTAGAATTCAGAGTATTTCCTCTTTTACAGCCTCTCGTTCGCTCCAGTATCAGACCCACAATTCTTTAGTTTCTGAAACAAGTCCATCCCCTTCCCTGAGCATGGAGAGTATTTCTGGGAATTCTGCAAAGTCTACTCCAGAACTGCACAGAAAATGTGAAGCTGAGGCAGCTGACGATAATCCAGCTACAGTCAGCAGGAGTCCTGCCACATCCAATGGGAGTCCGGTAGCCAGTGAGACCGCCCTGTCGAATACTGAGAGTCCCACACCACCCAGTTATCACCGACCTCCACCGAAGCCTCCAGTCAGCCGTAGCCCGAGGTTACCCGCTCATCCATCCCCTGAAACAAACAGGGTAAAACTCTGCAGCACTGACCTTCAGCCAAAGGTAGGTTATAATGGTGTTGCATAACTGCACAGTACAGTATAAATCCTTCCATAAAGACAGAGGTCACCAGGAATGTCACGATGTGTTCTGTAGACACTGCCTCTTGGAGCAGAGTATACTAGCTGATTATATGTGAGGCAGCTATCATTCAAAGATTATTTATTTACAGTTTGCTTACTGGGACTACAGTGCAAATCCTGAGGGATGCATAGGAAGAGGGTGGTATTTATGTGTTCCACCCACTAATCTGAGAACTTCCCTTTATCTCCCCTTGCGTCTGCCTGCAATTTATCCACCTTGGTTTTAGCTTGCTGTCTGTTGTGAACTCTTGCTCAAGCAGCTTACAAGGATAAACATTTTAATCACAGCAGAAAACTGAAAGAACTGCAGATGCTGGAAATCCGAAACAAAAACAGAAATGCATGGAAAAACTCAGCAGGTCTGGCAACATCTGTGGAGAGAAGGTCACGGGACTCAAAGTGTTAACTTTAGTCACAGCAGTGCTCCAAGTCTCAGTTCTGGGGACTATTCTTAGTATCCCACAACTAGTTCCTGCATTACCTGCATTTTACATGTGCAGGTTAAACAAATAAAGAAGTAGTTTTAATTAAAAATAAAATAAAATCTTGCAGATGCTGAAAAGGTGAAGTAAAGACAGGAAGTGGTAAAATCCTCAGATCTGGCAGTATCTCTGGAGAGGGAAATGATATTAACATTTCAAGTCAAATATGATCCTACTTTAGTAATTAAGATTGTTTTAACTCCTTAAACCCATGTCTGTCCCATAATTTCTTTGGTGGTCGAAAGCACGTATTAATCTCGTGTTTAAATTTAACATTTGAACAAGTATCAGTTGTCATTTACAGACACAGATTTAAAACTTCATCCATCCTTTGTGTGTCAAACTGTTTCTAATAAGCTTGGCTTTAGGCTATTCCCGTATACCTACAGAACAGCTTATGTATGCATTCTTCTTAATACCTTGAAAACTTTGCTCAAAACACAAAGTTCTAGGCAGTGTAATCCTTTTTTCTATTTTCAATCAGAGTCTTAAGTATCATTCAGATAATTGTCGCTAAGGCCAATGGATGCTTCCTAAACTAAACAATATATTCGTGATATGGTCAAATCAGATCTTTATAAAACTGAAGCATGACTTCTACCCCTCTTTCCAGTCCTGGTGATGTAAAGGCCAAGATTCATTTGCCTTTTTGATTACTTTCTGTCCCTGTTTATAACATTTTAGTGATACAAGTACATAAACCTCCTCTATTTCTTATTGGACATTCTCATTTTCGTTATGTGGATGATCTCCCATTTGTCTGCACTGAAATCCATTTGCTACAACTTTGCCCATTCAGTACATTTGTCCATATCTCTTGTCAGTTTAAAATTACAGCCACACTTCCTACAATGCCTGCCTATCTTTTTGTCAATTGGCAAATGTATTTAAATGACTTTATATCGGATCATCTATGATGTTGTAAATATGGTAAATAATTAAGGCTCCAACATGGATCCATGTAAGACATAATGACATCCAGCCAATTGGAATATCTGCCTACATTCCCCCATCTTGTTTCCTGTCCCTCAGCCAATTAATAGATTAAAACAGAAAAGGCTGTTTGACCCATCGAGTACGCACCCACAATAACTACCACTAAAGGCACATAATTCTAATTTCCTGCACTTGTCCCATATCCTGAATGCCATGATGTTTGAAGTGCTTATCTAAATACTTTTTTAGAGGTTGTAAGGTTTCCGGCCTTCACTGCCTTCCCAGGCAGTGCATTCTAGAATCCCACCACCCACTGAGTGAAAAAGTCTTTTCCCCAAATCCCCTCTGAATTTCCTGCCCCTTACCCTAAAACTATGACCCCTCCTTGTGATTGACCCTTCAACCAAGGGAAATGGCTGCTGTGTATTCACTCGGTTCATACCTGTTATACACCTCAATCATGTACATCTCAGTCTTCTCTGCTCTCGAGAAAACAATCCAAGCCTATGTTGTCTCTCCTCATAGCTCAGTTTCTCATCCCAGGCAACATTCTGGTGAACCTCCTCTGTATCCCCTCTAATGCTATCACATCCTTCCTATAGTGAGGTTTCTAGAACTGCACACAGTACTCCTGCTGTGACCTGACCAACGCTCCATACAACTCCAACGTTACCTCCTTGCTCTTATACTCCATGCCAGAACTGATGAAAGCAAGTGTCCCATATGCCTTCTTAATTATCCTGTTCACGTGTTCTGCTGACTTCAGAGATCTATGAGTAATTACCCCAATATCCCTATGTTTCTCTAAGCTACCCATTGTCCTGCCATTCATTAAATAGTTGTTCATCTTGTTTCTTCCTTCAAAGTGCATCACCTCACATTTATCAGGTTTAAATACCATCTGCCACTGGTCTGTCCATCTGACCAACCTATCTGTGTCTTCCTGTAACCTGTGACCATCTTCTTTGCTATTAATCACTCTACCAATCTTGGTGTCATCTGCGAATTTGCTTAATAACTCCCCCACATTTTCATCTATATCATTTATGCCTATAACAATAAATAAGGGTCTCAGCACTGATCCTCGTGGTACGCCGCTAGACACCAGCCTCCAGTCACTCAAACAGCCTTCTACCCTTTGTGTCCTATTACTAAACCAATTTCTGATCCATCTCGCCAAGTTTCCCTCAATACTATGTGTTTTAACCTTCTCAATCAGTCTCCCATGTGGGACTTGTCATAAGCTTTGCCAAAATCCATATAAACTGCATCAACTGAACTTCCCGCTTCCACACAATTGATCATCTTTTCAAATAATTCTAGCAAATTTGTTAGGCATGATCTCCCTCTGACAAAGCCATGCTGACTATCCCTAATTGACCCATGCCTTTCCAAGTGGTTATTAAGTCGCTCCTTCAGAATTTTCTCCAGTGGTCTCCTTACCACTGACATGAGACTCACTGGTCTGCAATTTCCTGGTTCATCTCTGTCACCCTCCTTAAAAGGTGGAACCACATTAGCCATCCTCTGGTACTTCCCTGGAGCCAGAGAGGAATTGAAAATTTGTCAGAGCCCCTGCAATTTCCTGCCTCATCTGCTACAGCAGCCTGAGTTAGAATTCATCTGGACCAGGGGATTTAATCTGTTTTTAGGCCCAACAAAGCCTCCAATACCACCTCATTTCCTAGGTCAACCTGCACAAGTTCCTCCTGAATCCCGTACCTATATTCTCCTTTTCCAGAGTGAAGACCAAAGAAAAGTATTCATTCAACACCCTTCCAATATCCTGTGGCTTCACACACAGTTGCTCCCTTGGTACCTAATGGGTCCTACTCGTTCTCTGGTTAGCTTCTTCCCTTTAATGTATTTATAAACTATCTTGCGATTCTCCCTAATCCTGTTCACAAGTCCTTTCTCATGCCCCCTTTTAGCCCTTCTAATTGCTTTCTGAAGTTCTCTCCTGCACATCCTGTATTCCCCTAGGGCCACAGCTGATTTGTTCTCTTTGGACTTGCTAAAACCCCTACTCTTCTTGCTTATTCTTATTGTCCTGGACATCCAGGATGCACTGAACTTTTTTGTTGGACCTGTACTCTGCTCAGCTCCTTTTTGACTGTCCTTCCATTGCTCTGCTGTAGACTTACCTGTAAGGAACTGTTCCCAGTTTGCTGTGGCCAGATGCTGCTTTATTCTAAAAATCTGCCTTCCCTCAATCCAAAGCTGTCTTTGGCAGGCCATCTTTTTCCTTTACCAGAACAAACTCCCAATAAAGTAGATGCCCCTTAACATTCCTCAGTTCTACCCACAAAGCCTCATTTGAGGACCTTTCCAAGATATCTCTCCTTATTGCAGTAATTGACTCCTTAATTAATAGTGCTGCACAACCACCCTTTTTACATCCCTCTCAGATCTTGCCTGAAGATTGTATAGCCTGGACTGTTGAGTTGTCAATCCAGCCCTTTCCTCAAACATGCTTCTGTGAATCTAACAATATCATACTTCATGTATCAATCCACGTCATTAATTCATCAGTCTTACCTATTACACTCCTTGCATTAAGGACCATTCAGCCTTGCTTTACTTTCTTGACACTCAACGTAGCTGAACTCGTTGTAACTTGCTTCCTTTGCTGTAGCATGATGTGTCTGTGTTTCATCGATATTCTGTGCCCTTTCCCCCTGCCAGATTACTTTAAACTCCTCCCAACAGCACTAGCAAATCTGCATGCAAGAATGTTGGTCCCAGTGTGGTTCAGATGCAGACTGACCCAATTGTACATGTCTCACCTTCTCCAGAAATGGTCCCAGTGATCTAGGAATCTAAAACCCTCCCTCTTGCACCAATGCTTGAGTCACAAATTCATCTAATTTGTCCTATTTTCCTTTTCTAAACTCACTAGAACATGGCATTGGGAGTAATTCAGAGATTACAACCATTGAGACCTGCTTTTTAATCTACTGTCAGTGTCTGAATGGAGAAGAGACAGGGAATCACAGTGATATTGGGAACGTATTCTAGGCTTCAGCTGTGGTGAGGAAATCAGTACCAGTGTGAGTAAAATCAAGGAACCTTGAGAGGCCAGAATTCAATTTGTGCAAGCATCTCAGAAGGCTGTGGAGGGATGGAGGAGATGTATAGATGGGTGGGGGAGAGGTGGGAGGTATGGGGGCTATGGACTGGAGGAGATTGCAAAGTTAGAGAGGGTTGTGGGGCTGGAGGGGATTACAGAGTTAGGGAGGGTTGTGGACAAGGAGTTTGCAGAATTAGGAAGGTTGCATACTGGAGGAGATTGCGGAGTTAGGGAGAGTTGTGGACTGAAGGAGATTGCGGAGTTTTTTTTCATTCATTCACGGGATGAGGGCGTCGCTGGCCAGGCAGCATTTATTGCCCATCCCTAATTGCCAGAGGGCAGTTAAGAGTCAACCACATTGCTGTGGATCCGGAGTCACATGTTGGCCAGACCAGGTAAGGATGGCACTTTCCTTCCTTAAAGGACATTAGTGAATCAGATGGGTTTTTACGACAATCAACAATGGATTCACGGTCATCATTAGGTCTGGGTCTCTGGATTAACAGTCCAGCGATAATACCCACGAGGCCATCACCTCCCCCAGTTGTGGACTGGAAGAGGTTGCAGAGTTAGGGAAAGCCAAAGTCGTAGAAGGATTTGAGAATAAGAATGAGGATTTTAGGATTGAGATGTTGTTTAACTGGGAGTCAGTGTCGGACATTGAACATAGTGGTGATAGTGGAATGAGAGTTGGTGCAAAAAGAGACACAAGGGACAGAGACAACAAGGTGCAGAGCTGGATGAACACAGCAGGCCAAGCAGCATCATAGGAGCAAAAAGGCTGATGTTTCGGGCCTAGACCCTTCGGACAGAGTTTTGGATGACCTCGTGTTAATGTGTGGTAAAATGTTGGAGATCATGCAGGAGAACATTGAAACAATCAAGACTATTGAGGAAATGAGGGTTTCAGCAGTAGGTAAGCTATGACAGGGTAAAGGATAATGATACATAGGTGGAAATCAACAGTTTTAGTATTGGTGCAAATATGAAATCAAAAACTTGTCTCACAGTCACATGACACTGAACAGACTGTCTCCATCTCGAACTCTGCCAAGGAAAAGGGTGAAATCAGTGGTTCAGGAACAGAATTTAGAATGCAAATAAAAAACAATGGCATCAATCTTCCCAATATTTAATTGGAATAGTTTATGCTGATCCAGATCTGGAAGTCAGATAATTTGGGTAATTTTGAAACAGCAGAGGGGTTTGTGTAGAGCTGAGTGTTGGCAACAAACATATACAAACTAAAATCTTGCTTTTGGATAAATGTTGCTGAAGGACATCATGTAGCTGCCCCTTCCACTTGTCCAGCTTCATTACTGGCTAAACATTCCCATCTGAATTCAGAATTGCCTCTTGTTGGACTCCATTTTTCATCCTGTCTTGCTAAAGGAAAATAACCAGCAATGTTGAGTTTCCATTCCTTCTTCAGCCAAATTTCAGGCATTGCTCTGATGTCATTCTCCAAGTATCTATATGTGCCATTAGCTTCCCTATACTACTGATCTTGGAACAACTCCATTGTCTGTTTTCTAGACTTTGTTTCCTCTGCTTTCCATGCACCTTCACAAATGCTGTTCTTTGTATTCCTGACTCTCCTTTCTGAGTCTGTGCTTAGGCTTCTCACCCCCTGCCAGGTTAGTTTAAACTTTTCCCAAAAGCACTGACAAAACCCACTATTGATGTTGATCTCAGCCACGTTGAGGCAAATCTCTACCATCCAAAGTTCTTTGTTTTATTTTATTGATGTGCAACCTGTCTGCCTTACACACATTACACCTTCCTCCAGAACCAGTCCCAATTCCCCAGAAATCTAAAGAATTTCTTGCCACATCATCTTTCCATTTGCTGTATCCTCCTATTTCAGTATTCGCCAACTCATGACCTTGGCAGTAATTCAGGTGTTGCTACCTTTAAGGTCCTACTTTTTAATTCTTTTCCAGCACCCTGCAATCTGCCTAAAGGACTTCCCACCCTTTTCTTACCAATACAGACCACAATTCATGGCTGTTCATCCTCGCGCCTCAGCACTCTGCGAACCACCCAGTGACCTCCTTGACCTTAACAAATGGGAGACGACCCACCATCCTGCAGTCTCATCTGCAGCCTCAGAAATGTCAGTTGTTGTCTTAACTGTTGAAACTTGTATCCCAGTGACTTTCTTAGCTTTGTAAACTCTGAACAGTTCCCAAATTGAGAGAACTTTGGAAGATTATAAGTGGAAAATCTATCTTTGTTCAGGGAATAATTTTTTTTACAGTCTTCATGCAAAGAAAATCCATTTGATAGAAAATCCAGTCCAGCTGGACTAACTGCTCCACCCCGCCCTCGGAAAGGACCAAAACCAGCACGTCCTCCAGCCCCCGGCCATGGATTCCCATTGATTAAGCGCAAGGTAAGTGTAAGGCTTTTGACCTTCTGCTGGAAGTGAATCTTTTTGTTCAATTACTTGCAGTTAAACTGCTTTTTCTGATGTCAGAAACATTATTGCTGATGCTGAACAGGGTGAGCTGTGTGTATGTTCATTCTCGGCACCCAATCTGTTTGCCAGCGTATGTTGCGTCTCTCTCAGTGCTGACATTAACACCATGTCTCTGTCAGCTGCTGGTCATTCTGGTTTCTGCCTGAATCTGCTGAGTCCTCACTTTCACTTCTTGTGTCGTGCTCAGTCTCCACATTCTTGGTCCCCTCACTCCCCTCCTTGTTCACTGCCTCCTCCTCACCACCTTGCTCACTATCTCTGATTCCCCGACTTGTGCACCATCTTGTGTGAGGGAGCAGGAGCTTTATCACATTCGCTGATTGTGCCCTGCATATGTTTAACCTGTTACCACACTAACTATTCTGCCATGTGTGGTTGACCTTATCACACTTGCTGATTGTCTGAGAGTGAGATAGAGAGAGCTGCTATCACATTTACTGATTGTCCCCTGTGCTGCTGCCTCACTCAGACTGCCATTTTACTTGATGTAACAGTAGGATGTTTAAATTGAGCAGGATTGTTTGGGCAGTATTGCTTTCAACCAGGCGGGAAAACACACCGTCGCTTCATCAGAGGCTGCACTGAGGATGTTACCAAGCACGGTAACGAAACGTCTGTGGAACAACAAACCAGCTCGGCGAGCCAACCAACCTCAAGACCCACAACCTGAGCTACAGCTCTACTCCAAAACCTTAGAGTATTGTTTTCACTTCAGAAGTGAGCACAGCATGAGTGCAAAGCCTGGCAACCATTTGAGAATATAGTTCAATTCTACAAATGATCCAAGGCAAATGGGATTGAGTACGTGGACCCTGTATCCCTAAATCTGTACCTTGAATACAGAAATTGAGGGTGATTCACAGTTCTGTTTTTCTGTGCTGATATATTTTATTTATTTTTGAAAGGCTTGTAATTTCTCAGTAGCTTTAAGTTCTCGTTGTTGTGATTTTTTTTTTTAGGTGCATGCAGATCAATATATTCCTGAGGAGAATATCCAGGGAGAGTTGGAACAACTGGAACAGAGCCTGGATGAACTAGAACATCGTGGGGTTGCACTGGAGGAGAAACTTCGCAGCTGTGAAAATGGTGAGTTCAGCAGAAACTCCTTGAACTAGGGAAGTGAGATTTGGCTGATGGTACATGGGACTATGAACCTGTTTCCCTAGATCTCTTTGTTCTATAATACTCGCCTGGGCCCTACCATTAACTAAGTCCTGCCCTGGTTTGACACACCAAAATGTAACACCTTGCATTTAGCTAAATTAAACTTCATCTGCCACTCGTCAGCCCACTGGCCCAGTTGATCGAAATCTCACTGCATTCCCAGCTAACCACCTTCACTGTCCACTATACCAATCTTGGTGTCATCAGCAAACCATACCTCCTAAATTCTCACCCAAATCGTATATATAAATGACCAATAACAGTGGACTCAGCGCCAATCTCTGTGGCACACCACTGGTCACAGGCTACCAATGTGAAAAACAATCCTCTTCCATCACCCCCGGTCTTCTACCATCAAGCCAATTTTATATCCAATTGGCTAGCTATCCCTGGATCCCATGAGATTTAACCTTACTCAACAACCCACCGTGCGGTATCTTGTCAAAGGTCTTGCTAAAGACCGTGTAGACAACGTCTACTGCACTGCCCTCATCTACATTCTTGGTCACCCCCTTCAAAAAAAAACTCAATCATATTCATGTAACGCAGTTTCCTATGCACAAAGTCATGCTGACTATCCCAAATGAGTCGTTGCCTTTCCAAATGCATATAGATCCTGTCTCTCAAAATAACCTCTCTGACAACTTACGCAACAGATGTTAGGCTCACCAGTCTAGTTCCCAGCATCTTCCTGCAGCATCTTTCTTAAATAATGGCACAACATTAGCCACTCTCCAATCATCAGGCATTTCACCTGTGGCTGTTGATACAAATCTCTGCTAGGCGTCTTGCAATTTCCTCCCCTAGCCTTCCACAAAGTCCTGAGATACACTTCATCAGGTCCTATGGATTTATCCACCTTAATGCATTTTAAGACTTTTAGCACCACCTCTTCTGTAATAGAACATAGAACATTACAGCGCAGTACAGGCCCTTCAGCCCTCGATGTTGCGCCGACCTGTGAAACCAATCTGAAGCCCATCTAACCTACACTATTCCATTATCATCCATATGTTTATCCAATGACCATTTAAATGCCCTTAAAGTTGGCGAGTCTACTACTGTTGCAGGCAGGGCATTCCACGCCCTTACTACTCTCTGAGTAAAGAACCTACCTCTGACATCTGTCCTATATCTATCACCCCTCAATTTAAAGCTATGTCTCCTCGTGCTAGCCATCACCATCTGAGGAAAAAGGCTCCCACTGTCCACCCTATCTAATCCTCTGATCATCTTGTATGTCTCTATTAAGTCACCTCTTAACCTTCTTCTCTCTAACAAAAACAGCCTCAAGTCCCTCAGCCTTTCCTCATAAGACCTTCCCTCCATACCAGGCAACATCCTGGTAAATCTCCTCTGCACCCTTTTCAATGCTTCCACATCCTTCCTATAATGCGTTGACCAGAACTGTACGCAATACTCCAAGTGCGGCCACACCAGAGTTTTGTACAGCTGCAACATGACCTCATGGCTCCGAAACTCAATCCCTCTACCAATAAAACCTAACACACCATATGCCTTCTTAACAACGCTATCAACCTGGGTGGCAATTTTCAGTGATCTATGCACATGGACACCAAGATCTCTCTGCTCATCCACACTACCAAGAATCTTACCATTAGCCCAGTACTCTGTATTCCTGTTACTCCTTCCAAAGTGAATCACCTCACACTTTTCCGCATTAAACTCCATTTGCCACCTCTCAGCCCAGCTCTGCAGCTTACCTATGTCCCTCTGTAACCTGCAACATCCTTCCACACTATCCACAACTCCACCGACTTTGGTGTCGTCCGCAAATTTACTAACCCATCCTTCTACGCCCTCATCCAGGTCATTTATAAAAATGACAAACAGCAGTGGCCCCAAAACAGATCCTTGCGGTACACCACTAGTATTTGAACTCCAGGATGAACATTTCCCATCAACCACCACCCTCTGTCTTTTTTCAGCTAGCCAATTTCTGATCCAAACCGCTAAATCACCCTAATGTAGACTATCTTCAAGACTATTTATTTACCCAAGTTCCCTAGCATCCTTGCCTTTGCCGACAGTAAATACTGATGAAAAATATTCATTTAGGATCTCACCCATCTCATGTGGCTCTGCACACAGATGACCTGGTCAATCTTTAAGAGGCCCTATTTTCTCCCTAGTTACTCTTTTGCCCTTCATATCCTTGTAGAATCTCTTCGGATTCTCCTTTACCTCATCTGCCAAAGCCATCCTCTTTTAGCCCTCCTGATTTCTCTCTTAAGTGCACTCCAACACCCTCTATACTCAAGGAACTCATTTGATCCCAGCAGTCTGTATGTGTCATATGCCCCCTTTTTCTTGACCAGGGCCTCAATAACTCTCGTCATCCAGGGCTCCCTCCTCCTGCCAGCCTTATCCTTCACTCTAATAGGAACATGCTGGTCCTGAACTCTCATTAACTCACTTTTGAAAGACTCCCACTTACCAGAAGATCCTTTGACTGCAAACAGCCTCTCCCAATCAACTTTTGAAAGTTCCTGTCTAAGACCATTGAAATTGGCCTTGTCCCAATTTAGAACTTTTACTTGTGGACCTGACCTATCCTCCTCCATAGGTATTTTAAAATTGATGGAATTATGGTCACTGGTCCCAAAGTGCTCCCCCACTAACACTTCTGTCAGTTGCCTTATGGTCATATAGATTTAAAGCATGGAAAGAGGCCCTTTGGTCCATTGTGCCCATGATGGTCATTAAGCATCTATCTACCCTAACTACATTTCCCAGCACTTAGCTTGTAGCTTTATATGCTCTGGTGCTTCAAATTATCATCTAAATACTTCTTAAATGTTGTTGGGGTTCCCACTCTACCACAATTCCAGGCAATGAGTTTTTCCTGATTACAGGAAGAGAAGTAAGGTTCCAAGAGGCGAGAGGGATGTGGCTGGAAAGCGACGAGAGCAATCATCAGAAATGGTCTATCCTATTCTGCTTCCCCAGTCTATATAGAGTCATATAGCACAGAAACAGGCCCTTCGGCCCAACTCGTCCATGCTGACCAGGTTTCCTAAACTTAACATGAAAGTTAATGTAAAGTGAAAATTAAATTATAACCCACTGCCTTTGTAGCAAGTGTCTCTGATCTCTAAACTAAAACCAAGAACTCCGGATGCTGGAAATCTGAAACAAAAACAGAAATTGCTGAAGAAACTCAGCAAGTCTGTCTGTATCTGTGGAGAGAAATTAGAGTTAATGCTTTGTGTCCAGTCACTCTTCTTCTGAACTGACCAGAAGAGGTGGTCTCAGAGGTGACTAAGATAGTGTGACAAAGCTAGGTGACATTGTAGGCATTGTAGATGATAGCATAAAATTACAAAGGAATATTGATAGACCAAGTAATTAGGCAAAGCAAGTGTAGGGTTATCCATTTTGAATCGATAAAGTATAGCTCAGGGTACTTTCTAGATAGTATGAAGTTAAATAAGTGAATGTCCAAAGAGACTTGGGGGTTCGGGATCTCTAAAATGTCATAAACAGATACAGAAAATAATCAAGAAAGCTAGTAGAATTCTGGCCTTTACATCTAGGAAACTGGATTGTAAGGATGCAGAAGTTATGTTGTGGTTATCCAAAACACTGGTTAGACCCCACGTGGATTATTGTGAGCAGATCTGGGCACTACATCTTAGGAAGGATGTATTGGCCTTGGAGGGAGTATAACATAGGTTTACTAGAATAATATCTGGGTTAAATAATGAGGAGTGATTATACAAATTAGGTCTGTTTTCTCTAAAATTTAGAAGGCTAAGGGGTGATCTGTTCAAAGTCTTCAAAATATTAACATGAAAAGAAAGGGTAGATAAACTATTTCCACTGGTTCGGGATTCTAAAACTGGAGGCAGGTCTAAGAATTAGGGCCAGACCATTCAGGAGAGATGTTAGGAAGCACTTCTATACACAAAGGGTGGTAAATGTTTGGAACTCTCTTCCAGAAATAGCAATGGATGCTGGATTAGTTAATTCTAAATCTGAGATTGATACATTTTTGTTAAGCAAAGGTATTAAGGGATATGGGCCAAAGGCAAGTGAATGCAGTTAGACCATAGATCAGGTATGATCGCAACTGAATGGTGGAACAGGCTCAAGGGACTGAATGAGCTACACTTATTCCTCTATCTTTTATATCCTGTTACTTTATCACTATGATCCAAAGATAGTAATCTAATCCAAAAGTCTTTTTGATTTTCAGTTCCACTTAATGCTCACTCCTAATATTTCTAATGCTGTAACTGTCTTCTATCCTGATACAGCCACCTCTCCCTCTCTTCCAATCTCCCTTTTGTTTCTAAAGACATTGTAAACAATTTTCCAAATTATGCCCAGCTTGAATCAGGATGCTCTGACGGCCAGTAACATCATACCCTTTAAGTTGAATTTGTTTTGTGAAAGAGTGGGAGAGGTGCAAGGAGGGAACACCAGTGTCTGGAGCCTAGACAATTGACGACGTGGCCTCCAATTGCAGAGCGAAAGAAATCGGGAATGGGGAAGAAACCAGAGTTTGGAGCAATACAGAATTTCTGGATTGCTGGAGGTTGCAGGAGTACTATCCCTGAATAGTATGCTGTTCAGCTGGCTGGAGGAGGATTTATATCATTCACAACTAAAGGCTGAGAGAGGGGTTGGGAAGTTGTCCTCGATCTGTCACATTATGGGGAGGTGGCAGCCCTTAGGAGGGAGGGGCAGATGGGGATGATTCGAGGAAGGGAACGAGGCCTTGATACATCTCCAGTCAGTATTCATTTTCTATTTCTCTTGCATTCACAGATGAAGATGAAGATGATCTCCTGGTTGATTGGTTCAAACTAATCCATGAGAAGCACATGCTGGTTCGCCGTGAGTCAGAGCTGGTTTATACGTGAGTTGCTGTTTTATTGCATTCATTTTCTTCCCTTTACCACATATTAGCTACTTGTGTCACAATAACCTTGTGCATGATTGGATTGCCCTGGGTGTAGAGATACCAGCCATTCCCAGTCCCTCATTCATTTACTTTTGATGGTGATGGGGCATTGCCGTGGCTGAGGGACAGGTATGCAAAGGGGGGCAGAAAGGAAAAGCTGTCTGCAGGAACCCCTGTTGTATCGCCTGTCAGTCTAACATCAGCTAATCCTGAGCTAGCTCATTGAGAATGTAGAACAGGACAGCACAGGAACAGGACCTTCAGCCCATGATGTATGAGCCAACCATGATGCCATTCTACCTGCCTGCATATGGTCTGTATCCGTCTACTCTCTGCCTGTTCGTATATTTGTCTAAACGCCTCTTAAACATTGCTATTGTATTTACCACCTCCCCAGCATTGCATTCTGGGCATCTATCACCCTCCGCATAAAAAAAACTTTGCACACATCCTTAAAACATTCCTGTTTCACCTTAAACCTATTAATTTAAAATTTCCTCCCAGGAAAGCGACTCCGACTATCCATCTTATCTGTGTCCCTCATAATTTTATGTACTTCCATCAGGTCACTCTTCAGCCTCTGACGGCCTAGTGAAAACAATCCACGTTTGTCCAACCTCTCATTATAGCTATTACATTCCAATCTAGGCAACATCCTGGTGACACTCTTTTGCACCCTCTTCAAAAGCCTCCAGATCTTTCCCGTAGTGTGGCAACCAGAACTGCATAGAATACTCCAAATGTGGCTGAACTAAAGTGTGATTCAGCTACAACATGACTTAGAGTCATAGTTATACAGGAACCAGACTCTTCAGTCCAACCCGTCCGCGCCAACCAGATATCCTAAACTGATCTAGTTTCATTTGCCAGCATTTGGCCCATATCCCTCTAAACCCTTCCTAGTCAGGTACCCATCCAGATGCCTTTTAAATGTTGTTATTTTACCCACCTCCACCACTTCCTCTGGCAGCTCGTTTCATAAGCTCACCACCCTGTGCGTGAAAATGTTGCCCCTCAGGTCCCTTTTAAATCTTTCCCCTTTCACCTTAAACCTATGCCCTCTAGTTTTGGACTCCGTTATTCTGGGAAAAAGACCTTGGCTATTTACCCTATCTGTGTCCCTCCTGATTTGCCAATATTTATACTCCGTGCCCTGACTGATGAAGGCAAGCATGCCATATGCCTTCTTTACCACCTTACCACTTGTGTTGCCACTTTCAGGGAGCTATGGACTTGCATCCCAAGATCTTTCTGTATATCCGTGCTCCTCAGGGTCCTACCATTTACTGTATACTTTCCTTTTGAATTGATCCATATCCTGCTGTACCATTGAACAATCTTCTTCACTATTCACAAATCCATCACTTTTTGTGTTGTCTGCAGACTTATTACTCAGACCACCTACATTTTTATCCAAATCATTTATAAATGACTGAGGTCCCAGCACTGACCCTTGAAAAACACCACAGGTCATAGACCTCCTGTAGTGATTGTAAAGAGTGGGCAGGTGGGCAACATAGAGTATGAGTTTCCTGATTGGGGCTGTTAATCTGGTCCATTTAGGGAGCCCTGGCTGACAGATAAGAACAGGAATGTCAGACATCCTGTTCACTTGGAGAGCTGGCCCTGAGGGAGCTGGATCAGTGTCAAGGACTCTCCACATGTAAATAAAGGATGACTTGGTGATGGGGTACTGGCCTCTGTAGAATTATTTCACCTCCAATCAGAAAAACACCCCTGCACAACTACCTACTGTGATCAAGCTAATTTTGTTTCCAACTTACCAACTCACCATGTATCCCGTGTGATTTAATCTTCTGGACCAGCCTACCACGAGGGCATTTGTCAAATGCTTTCGTAAAGTCCATGTAGACAACATCCACTGCCCTACCCCCTCATCAATCAGCTTTGTCACTTCCTCAAAAACTCCATCAAATTTGTGAGACAAGACCTTTCATTCAAGTTCTTCTGCACTGCATAAGCTTAAGTGTTTATGCAAAGTTGCGTTTCCACCTGTGTTCCTCTGCAGCACAGCAAGATCAACTCAGACTGATGTAACTTATCATCTGATTGTGGTCTTTAAATGAAACAGAGTGATAGTGTCATTCCAGCCCCATGTTTCCACCTTTCCAACTCTTTCCCTTTACTCTCATGCCCCTTATCTCTGCTGTACTATCTGCTCCCTGCACCTCTTCCTCTGTCAGGTTCAGAGTGTTTCGGTGCTTGTACTGCCTGGTCTATCAGCCAGGCCCCTGTGTTTTGGCCTAGGCTGTTGCTCCATTCTGCAGTAGAGCTTTAAATCGATGAGTTGCCCCAGCCCCCAATCCATGACTGATGGGCCTGACCTGACGATGCATTGGGAGTCTCCAGGGATTGCACAGATGGTGAGAGAATGAGGACAAGATCTATTAGAAAAAGTGCAGCTGCCATTTCCTAGCCCTACTGGCTTAATGAAGGAGTTGTGGATAGGTAATTTCTATACTAATCATTGCTATTTAACTGAGGAGGCTGCCACAGTCTGAAGTCTGTTGCCATAATGTGAACCATGTCCTCTTTTGCAGTTTCAAACAGCAGAATCTGGAGGAGCGGCAAGCTGATGTGGAGTATGAACTGCGCTGTCTGCTCAACAAACCCGGTGAGTTATGGCTGCACAACGCATTCAGGGTTTACCTTCCACACTCAATTCCGTCAGGCTGATAATTGCTTCACTTGTCCCTGCAGAAAAAGATTGGACAGATGAGGATCGAGCCCGAGAAGCAGAATTGATGCAGGAGTTGATTACAGTCATTGAGCAAAGAAATGCTATTATCAACAGCCTGGATGAAGACCGACAGCGGTAATCTATTCAGTATTTAGGATCACACAAATAGAGAGTGCTGGTGAAACGCAACAGGTCTGGCAGCATCTGTGGCGAGACAAACAGTTAACATTGCAATTTCAGTATGACTCCTCTTCAGAACTGATAGGGGCTGGAAAATGGTAGTTTTTATACTCTTGGTAGAGGGGGAGGAGGACAAGAGGAACAGATTGAGGGTGAGTCCCAGAATAAAAGACAAAGCGAGTGCTATGATAGTCAAGGAGAAATGGAGACATAATACAGGCTTTGAAACACTGGTTTTGAAGGTCACTGTAATGCAATCAAAATGGAGACCCAGGGTGTATTCTGAAGTTGTTGGACTTAATATTAAGGCTTAAGGCTATAAATTGCCTAAGCAGAAAATGATATGTTGTTCTTGAGCCTCATTGAAATAGTGCAGGAGGCCCAGGTGGAAATGTTCACATGACAGCAAGATGGTGTATAAAATAGCAAGCATCTGGAAGGTCACAGTCATTCTTATTGACAGGAGGTATTCCAAAACATGGTCATCCAGTCTGTGTTTGGTCTCGCCACAGAGTGGAGGCTGCAATTGTGAGCAGTGAATACAGATTGAAAGAAGCTGTGTTTAGGACCTTGGTAAGGAGGTGATGTGGTAAATGTTACATCTCCTGCACGTACATGGCAAGGTATCATGGGGCAGTGAGGAAGTGTTAGGTCTAATAAGAGTGTACCAGGGTGTAATAGAGGGAATGTTTCCTCTGGAATGCTGACAGTGTAGGGGAGGAGGAGCAGATGTGTTTGGTGGTGGTATCCTGATGGAGGTGGCAGAAATGGCAGGGTATGATCCTTTGCAGAGACTAACGAGGTGAAGAATAAGGACAAGAAGAACCCTGTCATTGATCTGGGAGGGTGGGGAAGGGATGAGGGCAGCACTGTGGGAGTTGAGACCGACACGGCTGAAGGCTCTGTTATCCATGGTTATTGGCAGAGGAGTAGTCATCCATTGAGGCAGCCTGGTGAAAGGAGACACTATTGGAACAGATGTGGCAGAAGGGAATAGAAGCCTTGCAGGAAGCAGTGTGAGGAGGTACAGTCAAGGTAATTGTGGGAGTCATTAGTGGACACCCTATCCCAAGAAATGGAAACAGTGAAATTAAGGAAGGAAAGAGTCTGCGATGGATTAGATAATGGATCAGGTGAGAGAAGAGTCATTATGTTATGGTGCTGGAGTAATAGATGCAGGATAGTGGGTTACCAGCTTTCTGGAGGATTAACTGACACAGGATATTGAGGTACAAGCTTCCTGTCTGGGGGTGATCAATACAGGATTGTCAACTGCATTGTAATTTTTCTCAATGTAAGAGAGAAAATGATGAGGTAATTCTCATATTACTGTGTTACAGAGAGGAAGAGGAGGATAAATTGCTGGCAGCAATGATAAAAAACAAAGGTAAGGTATTTGCTCCAAATATAATTTATACACCACCACCTTGCTCACTCAACTACATTGGCTTTTAGTTAAAAACATTTAAAGATTCACTTCCCTCATTCGATGGTCCTGCCCGTTCATCCCTAACCATCCCTAGTTCTACAACCCTCCAAGATGTCTGTCTTCCTCTAACTTTGGCCTCTTGAGCATCCCTGATTATTTTCATCACTCCTCCATTAATGCCATGTCTTCATCTGCCAAGGCCCTGAACTCTTGATTTGCTTTCCTAAATCTCACTGCCTCTACTCTCTCATTTAAGGTATTTCTTAAAAGCAACTTCTCTGGCTGAGCTTTTGGTCATCTCCCCCAATATCTCCGTACCTGGGTTGGTGTTACTTTGTTTGACAACACTTCTGTCAATCATCACACAATGTTTCACTACCTTAATGGAACCATTTAAATGCAAGATGCTGTAATATACACTGTAACCTCTCCAGATCAGAATATTGGGACCAAGTCATTCTGGATTTTGGTGTTTTCTGAATTTATAGAGTAAGTTTAGAATGTCTAACCAGAGAACACAGTCAATAGAAATACTTATCAGAAGCATAAAACAGTGTTACAGCAATAATAAAAATGTTCTTATCTAAATACTGTACCTTCTATAGTTCTGGTCCTGAAGTATGGAACTAAAATGGTGCTGAGGGTCACTTGGATCCACTAAACACATCTCTGGATAACTGCTGTTTCTGAACAATGTATTTCTGGACTAAAGAGATTACCGTGTATAAGAGAAGACAGTTTCTTTAAACAGTTCAGTTTGAATTCAGGCTGATGCCTGCCCTTTTCTATTGCTCTTTCTGTCCACTAAAAATTGCAGCACCTGAAGCTCGGAGGGAGAGTGAGAGCCGAGCTGTAGGTGGGTCTGAATACTCCCCTGGAAATTTGGGGGTGGGATGGTGATGGATGAGGTGAGGGTGGGTCAGAATACTCTGCTGTAGCTGGAGTGGGGGCAGAGAACAAGGTGAAGATGAGTCTGAATATTCTCCTGAATCTGGTGGGGGGTGGTGTAGAGAAATGAGATAAGGGTTGATCTGAATACTCCCCTGTAACCTGGGGGGTGGGGGATGTGGAAGTGGATGAGGTGAGGGTGGGCCTTGCTAAGATACCCAAATCTTTGCTTTGGAGTGACGTCGGCAGTGAGGGCCTTATATTGGTCTTTGGGCCTCCATTTTCTCTCTGGGATTCGATTGGAGGGCTACATGTGGCAGTTAGTGGGAATGTTACCTGGAAGCAGGATCTTAGTTACTAAGAAGATGAAGGACCTCTCCCAGAAACTGAGAGGTTAGCTGGGTTCAGCTGCAGGGTGGCAGCACTGTCAGTAGCGATAGGCACCTATACAACCCACACTATCCCCAAATTCCCCATACCACAGACTAACCCTGGCCCAGGCCACCTGACCTAACCCAACCCCCAAACCACACCTACTGAAAAATAAAGGGAGAAGTTGGAAGGAGTGTTTTTACATTTAGAGTTATTGGATCTGTGAATATTTTACAACAAGGTAGAGACTGAATCATAATCTCAAAGGGAATTGGATAAGGATTCAAAAGAAGGTATTAAGTTGGGATTGGAATAAAACTCAGTTGAGGACCTAGCACCAGCATAGCATTGTGGGCCAAATGGTCACCTCCAGTGCTGTTATGAGTGGATATTTTAGCATTTAATTTGCATTCCAAAACTTCCACCAAGAGCCGGTCATTAGTTACACTGTATGTCAGACTGTAGCATCTCCATGAATTTCTGTAGGTAGATGATTGGCTCCATGAAGAACCTGCGAGCTGCCAGCAAGCACTGTGCAGACTTTCAGCCAGTCACAACCAATATCATGTCAAGGCATGGTACCTTCTCACCACACCACAGTCGTACTGCAGAGAACTGACATAAATGTACATGTAAACATATTAAATACGAACAGAAATTGACCAATCAGCCTTTGAAGCCTAATCCACCATTTAATAAATCTGTTTGTGTTTTAAATTCCATGCTCCCCTCTATCTCTGATGACCATTCATTTCCCCATGCCTAAAAAAAAATCATCTGTCTTACATACATTCCTTGACCCCACCTCCACCAGATTTGAGGCAGGGAGTTCTGAAGTAGCACAATCCCCACAATCTCTGAAATTTAAAATAATATTCCCTAGTTCTGGACTCATCCACAAGAGGAAACATTATTATTGCATCCGCCTTGTCAAGACCATTCAGGATTTTAAATACTTCCAAACTCCAGTGAAAGCAAGCCCAGTCTGTCCAACCTGGCAGACTTATTCCAGGTATCAATCTCGTAAACTTTCTCTGAACTACATCCTTCCTTAAGTAAGTTGTTCCGAGATACACATACTGAGTTGTATCTCACCAATGCCCTGTATAATTGAAGCATAACATCCTAACTTTTATGTTCAATTTCTCTTGTAATAAAATATAGCATCCCATTAGCTTTCCTGATTATGAGCTGTATCTGCAAACTAACCTACTGTGACTCATGACAGAACACCTAAATCCCTCTGCACCTGGGAATTTTGCAGTTGTTCTCTGTTTAAATAGCTTTCAGCTTTTTAATTTTTCCTGCCAAAATGAACAACTTTTTCCCACATTATATTCCAATGGCCAGATTTTTGCCCACTCATTCAACCTATCTACGTCAATCTTAAAAATTCCTTATGTCTTCATACTATACTTTCTTACCTATCCTGGCATCATCTGCAAATTTCACCACCATGCCTTTGCTCCCCCCACCTAAGTCATTGGTGTAGATTGTAATATGCTGGGACCCCTTTACCCCTGCAGGACTCAACTCATCACATCCTGCTGATCAAACAAGGATCCATTTATGCATACTCTATGATTCCTGCTCACCACATCTACCCTCGCACCACGTGCTTTTGTTTTCTGCAGTAACTTTGATGTGGCACCTAATCAGGTGTCTTCTGGAAATATAATCTGGCACTCCCAGGCAATGGTGAAAGATGGAACATTAAATCCAGCTGTGTCGGCCCTCTCTTGGTTGAAAGATTCAAGTTTTCCCACAGCTGGACATCATCATGTTAAATACATCGATAGTAATGTCACATTACTCTGTGGAGTAACCTTTCCCATCTTGCTGGGATCTTTCATACATGATTTCTGCCTGTGTCTAGTAATGGTTTTATGTTCATTTTAATGCTGTTTTTTCTCACAGGACCATCAAATGGTGTTCACCAATATCAAAACAATAGGCAGGGCACTGTTGCCTATCCAGCCCACTGTGTGTATTGACTTACTGTGGTACCTGGTTGAGTAATCCCTTGATTTTAAAATTGTGTCCACGTGTTCAAAACCTTCTCTGGCCTCACTTCCCCAATCCTACTGTCGTTAGATCCTCCACGATACATCTGCTCATCGTGTTCTGACTTCTAGCAATTCCCCGGTGTTAATTACTCCACAGTTGGTAGCTGCACCTTCAGCTGTCCAGTAAGGTCTTAAACATTGAATTCTTTCCGTAAATCTCTCCATCCCGTTCTGCCTTCAAATATGGTCCTCTCAAACCTCTCTTCGTGACCAGACTTTCAGTCCTTTGTGCCAGTATTTCCTTGCCTGACTCAATGTCCAATTGTGTTCAATACCGAACCTGTGAAGCACCTTGGAACATGTTTTACATTTTAGCTGCTAGTTGTCATGTTTGGGCTCTTGAGGATGAGACCATGACCCCTCCTGGATGCTTTTGAGGGGGAGGGGCTGTGGTACGGTGGATGGCCCTGACCATGCAGTTTACCTACTGGAAAGACATGACTGCTTTCTTTTTTTAAACAGATTTTCACAAGGATCCCAATAGTGAAATAAAGAAGAAGTTAAAATTCAAGCCCAGCAAGATGTTGAAATTTCTAGGCAACAAGCCAGAAGTAAAGTCGAAAAGTGCCAAAGAGAAGAATTTATGATTGGTGGAAATGCTGAAAAGAATGGGAAGCTCCACCAGCTGACATTGACCAACAGGACTGCACTTTTTGGGACTGGTTCAACTTGACAGCATCTGGTGATTGTTCATAGGAAGATGTGGTCTCATACTGACGTTAGACAGGCCCATCATGGTGCTGGCTGAGATTATTTACTATGTATCCTTAGTTTATGTGCAATAGAAGTCACTACAGTCCTGTATAATTTGTGTTTAAGTGCATTTTACACAACAGCTGAGACACATTCATTATTCTTTCTCAAGCTTAAGTCTGTCTTTTCCCACTCTCCAGTTTTGTGCAGTTTCACAGGTACAGGCTCAGGACCAGCCCGTGCCTGGCCCTGTTGTTGTTTTCTGTGGCCAAGTCAAACTGGCATCACTTATTGCTGTGGAGTTTTGTTTTCAGTGTGTGAAGTTCTGTTCAGTTCCTGCCATGTAATGCCCTTTCACTGCACAAATAGTTGTCTCGAGACCTAGCAACTCACAACGGTTCTGAACTCGCCAGGTTGTTACCTGCCTGTGTGTGCTGGTTATCTTGTGGTACAGCATGTACTATTAATCTGTCACCGCAAGAATTTTATAAATCTTTCCCAGTTGCAACTGAAATCTTTGCAAAGAGGGTATCAAAATCTCCAAAAACAGTACCTTACCAGTGACAACATATCAATGTCTTGTGCACACATACTGACACTTAGTACAGTGCGCTGTATACTCTGGAGATACGGAGCACTGACCATGCTGCAGATGCAGTTGCTGGACTCTCTGGTGTGGAGGGTTTTCTCATCGCTGTGTATTCTGGGGGTGCAGACGCTGAGAGTTCTGATTAGTTTTCAGTGCCCTGGACAATCGGGCGAGGTGGGAGAGGGGGGTGGGGGTGGGGGTGGTACAGTACACAAAGCACTCTGGGGAAGGGATGGTGAGGTGAGCTGCATTGTACGAGGTAGATACCCAGGGTCCTGAAGTTTCTTGAGTTTGAAATGGGCCAGAGCTAGAACCATAAGATTCTGTGTCATGGCTGAGACCGGTCTAAATAATTTCTTCACTGTATTGCCCAATGCCAGTGATGGATACTATTTCTTATTATCTTATTTACCCATTGTTGAGAGTCTGAACAGATCAATAGAATGATTACTGCCCTCTGCTTATCAACAACCAAGGTCAGAAGGTATCCTTAGCCATTAACTGACTCTGCATGGCCAGAATCCAGCTTGATCACTAACTGTGGAGTTATGATGCCAGTTACTGTCTCTGTCTTCCACTGGATAATGTAAAGCAGTCATTTTAATACAGAGAGACCTTAAAGCAATGAATCATGATCAGACACAGGGCACTCTACATCCAAATCATGAGCGGGCACAGTGACAGAATCAACAAGTTTGAGAATGGATAAGCAGAGGGCTGGAGCCCAAGGCATTCACCTGTCTCTCAAGACTCTGTGTCATATGTCACACAGGTCTTGCTGTAGATCCCAAATTGTCTCTGGTTGTTGTTGAGACCTAGAGGTGACACCAGTCCACTGCTCATTATGAGCATGTCTTTAGTCCTGAATCTGGCACCATACAAGTAAATCAGAAGCACTTTTCAGAATGAAACAGAATATGCAAAGTGTGTTCATGAATGATCTTTGTAGAATCTGTGCGCTGTGGACCTCCAACTTATTCTTTATCATCAGGGGAATATCTGAACAGTAACAAAGCTGCAGACAGAAAAATTCATAACTGAATATGCTCAATTCTGCTACAGTCATCATATTCTCACATCACTGTTCTGTTAAAGTTAGGTTTCAGAAGTGAGACACTGATTGATGCAAACAATGCTCAGCAGTAGAGTTTGTGTTATCTGTGGAAAGTAAGGAGTACGTACGTAATCTGAGCATGTGAATTGAGCACATTCAAGCAGCTGTTTTGACTGGGTGACTTTATGGTTTAATTTATTATCTGTAATGAAGGTCATGTCCATGATAATATTGTACTTCATTGGCTTCAAGTCTCTCAACTTGTACTGTGCTATTGATGTAATTCTTCACCAGGTGCAATCTGAAACCTTCATTGGTTTTTAATCTGCCAATCACAGTGCCCATCACTCAATAGATCCGCTCTAGCAATGGGCATTTACTCCGAGCTGGTGAATGACTGTGCTTTAGATCTGAGCCTAACCCTCAGCATGCTGATGGGCTGCTGACACTAACCTGACAGTAAAGGTCTTCGTACCTGATCGATTAGGATTTAAATGGTCAGTTCTATCTCCTGAAGGTTCATTTACACTTGAACACAGAACCAACAAACAACTAAACATTATTTTGCATTCTCACATAAGCTGAGCTTTATCAGGGGCTTTCAGATTTGTGTTTTGAAACTTTATGCTTCCAGAGATTGAATGCAAAATACCTACATTGCTCTGAGCTGTGGCACATACACAGTTGCCCTAGTTAACAATTTATTTTGTGATTTTTAGGTTCTTAGTATTAATTATATTTCTATCTAACACATACAGGAACAGATGCCAAATATAAGCCTTAATTCAATTTAATGTCAAACCTTTTATTGAAAGCTTTTTTTGTACTTACTGTAGAACGGGAATTGGTGCCGTTTCTTTTGTTTTGGTAGTTATAAGGTTGCTGTCTTCAAGTGAATTGAATGGTTTTGCTAATGCAGATATTTTCTTTAGCTGTTACTCTGCCTTACCTATTTGTATATAATATTTATTGAAACACCCAAACACTGTTCTAAAGCTATATTATTCTAACAAAATGGGTAAAATTGGGACCAATAAAATGGAATGTTGTCCAAGTGTGTGTCTGGTTTACGAGTGACAGTTAGTTTTATGCACGTACCCTGGTCAGAGGGAACATTTCTCTTTTAGCAGTGTGTTACTGTGCATGTGGTGTTTTATTAAATGGCCCTGTGCTATCCACAAGATGCACTGAGAAATTCACCAAAGATCCTTAAACAGCACCTTCTAAACCCATGATCACTTCCATCTAGAAGATCAAAAGCAGCAGATACACAGGAACACCACCACCTCCAAGTACCCCTCCAAGCCACTCAACATCTTGACTTGGAAATATGTCATCATTCCTTCACTGTCACTGGGTCAAAATCCTGGAATTCCCTCCATAAAGGTCAACCTACAGCATGTAGACTGCAGCGGTTCAAGAAGGCAGATCACCACCACCTTCTCAAGGGCAGCTAGGGCCAGGCAACAAAATGCTGGATAGCCAGCAATGTTCACATCCCATGAGTGAAAACAAAAAAATTGTCCTGCTTGTCAATCACTGATAGTTGTTTGTCTGCAACAACAGTTCAACAACTGTATTCCAGTAGTGCCTTTAACGTATTCAAACATCAAGAGGGGTTTTGCAGACATATTACAAAACAGAACAATGTCACCACGCCACATAAAATATATGACCAAACACCCGAAGAGGTACAAAGGCACAATGTGAGGCTTCAGGAGCTGATGAACAGAATTGACAATGTTATGACTAAAAATTAATGACGATGAAAATGTGTGGTTGAAAGCTCGTGTACATGCCTCGATATCCACTTTAGAGTCGGAGTATTTATAGCACGGGAAGAGGTCCTCTATTCTAAGACAACAAGGTGCAGGGCTGGATGAACACAGCAGGCCAAGCAGCATCATAGGAGCAGAGAGGCTGACGTTTCGGGCCTAGACCCTTCATCAGAAAAGGGGGAGGGGAAGGGGGTTTTGAAATAAATAGGGAGAGAGTGGGAGGCGGATAGAAGAGGGATAGAGGAGAGGATAGGTGGAGAGGAAACAAACAGGTC